AACAATATAGGGTTGATCCATAAACTGCCCTATTATTCTGCCAGAAAAGGAATCAAGTAAAATGGTGCATCCTCTATGGAAAACAGTGTTCCTGTTCCTCAAAAATTTCAACATAGAATTAACCTATGATCCACCAATTCCACATCAGGGTATACACCTAAAACATTGAAAGCAGGGACTGGAACAGATATGGGTATACCCTTCTTCAGATCAGCATTCACCTCAATAGCAAAAGGTGCAAGCAACCCAACTGTCCATTGATGGATGAGTGGATAAACTAAATGTGGTTGTATACACACAGACGAATGGAATTCAGGCTGAAAAACGAAGGACATTCTGACACGTGTTACCACATACATGAACCTTGAAGTCATTATAATAAGTGAAAAATCCTGTCACAAACAGAACAAAATGATATGATTCCACCTATATGAAGTACCCATAGAAGTCAAATTCAAAGGCAGAAAGTAGAATATTTTTGCCAGGGACTGAGGAGAATTCGTCTTTAATGGGTACACAGATTCACTGGTGAAAACAGAAAAGTTCTGAATATGGATGGGTAAGATATTTGTACAAAAATGTGAGTGTGGTTAATACTATAGAATGGTGTACTTAAAAAGGCTTAAATGGTAAATGATCTGTATAATCACACACACATACATGCACACAATGAATGAAGTACTGATACACGTTACAATACAGAAAAGGTCGCTCAGATCATACTCAACTTGTGTGCTTTAAATCCATCAAGGTTGTGAAAATGAGGGAAAGTATCAGTCATAGTTCCAGGAAAATAAAACTGGATCAGAATGGGAAAAGATATTTCCCTAGAGTTGGAGCAGCTGGTGAAATTTGAAGTGGGCCTGTGGATTGGACTGTAACATAGAAACCATCATAATTTCCTCATTTGGAGGTTACATGCTGGTTCCCTAGAAGAGTGGCCCTGTTTTGAGTAAAATGCACTGGAGTATTTTGTGTGAAGTGGCAAGTGCAGGAAAGCAAGGACAGCTGGGAAATCTGAGCATGCAGATATACAGGACTTCGTTTTGCTATTGCAAGTTTTCTGTATGTTTGAAATTACTGGATAGTAACTCACTTTCCAAAACACCGTGTCAATCCCACACCAGAAAAGCAGAGAAAATGTCACACTTCCTTATAGAAGCCAAGCCTTGTTACCCAGGTCCACTTCACACAAAGTCGTGAACCTAATCACCCCTGTATGAGCCCACAAGTAATTGAAAGGCACTCTGTTAGATGCTAGTAGGAGCCACTATGTCTTCCATGTTATGGATGACCTGGATGTGATAGAAACAGTGGGATTTTCGAGGAGTCCCAATTTTCTACATCATTCCATCAAAACACCATTAGTCTAATACATGAATTCAGTAAAGTTACAAAATCAATACACAAAAATCAATTTCTCTTCTAAACACAAAAACCAAACCATCAGAAAGAGAACATAAACAATCCAATTGACAACAGCATCAAAAAGAACAAAATACCAAGGAATACATTTAACCAAGGAGTTGAAAGACCTGCACACTGAACACTTCCAGACGTTGATGAAGAAAATGAAGAAGACACAAATAAATGGAAAGATATCCCATGCTCATGGAATGGAAGAACTCGTATTTTTAAAATGTCTGTTCTTCCCAAAGCAATGTACACTGTGAATGCAATCTCTGCCTAACTTCCTACGGTATTTTTCACAGAAATAGAGCAAATGCTCTTAATATTTGTGTGGAAACACAAAGGACCCCAAATAGCCAAAGTGATCCTCACAAAGAAGAACAGGCTGGATGCATCTCACACTCTTACTTCAGACAGTATTGCCAAGCAACGGTCACCAAAACAGTGTAGAACTGGCCAAAAAAGCAGATGCACAGGCCAGAGGAACAGGACGTTTACCGAGCCCAAGCTCCTTCTGCTCCCGCACGAAGGGCCAATACGCCCCGAGACGAGTTGCTGGAAGAAGGAATAACGACTTTAATCGGAAAGCTAGCCCACCGAGAAGATGGCCAATCAGCACCTCAGAAAGCCATTTCCCCTCAGTCCCGGCTGGGGCTCCTTCTATACAGAAGGGGGAGGGATGGGGCCCGCGGCACCGGCCAATGGCTACAGCTCGCGCCTGCCCCGCCCCCACTTCAACTGCATGACGTCAGTCAGGCGGTGATAGGCGCTGAGAAGAAATGAAGCTGGTTAAGGGGTAAAGATCCCCAGCTGCTTTTCTTGGAGAGCGCGGCAGAGGCGGTTCTGCAGGAACCTGAGGGTCGCCGATCCCGTGCCGCCTCACTGATGCTCGGAGCCAGGCTGTCGAGTAACAGCCCTGAGGCCGGCCTGTCACGGTGACCCGCCCCTGTTCCCGGCCCTCACGGAGGCGCGTCTCAGGCCTCCCCGCGCCTTTCTTCACGCCGGTTTCCGCCCCGTCCCCACGCTGGCGCAAGGAGGGCCGGGTCACCGGAACCGGGTCCGGTCGCCAGTGCAGGCTGGTTCCCTGGCTCCGCTGCACGACGCCAGCGTGGTGGAAGCCTTCGGCCTCGGCCTCTCGCCTCCTCCTGTTCTCTGCGGGGCCGACTTTTCCACGTGGTGGCGGGCTCTTCGGCCTCCATGTTCCACGCTTTTTCCTCAGCCCTTCCCTTCCTTAGAAACGTCGCCTCACGTCCGCCAAGCTCCCATTTGGAACGTTTAAGACCTCCCTTGAAACAGGCTCCCGGGTGACGTCAGCGCCGCTGCCCGCCCGCCCGCCCGGGACTCCAGGCATCCAGCCCCCAAGCCGTAATAAACTTACCTTAGCTCCCAGCACAAAGTCCCTTTCTGCAGCTGCCCTGCTCCTGAGTCTCGCCTGGTTGCAGGTCTGAGAGAAGTGAGGCTCCCGGTGCCTACAGGGCCTCCGCTTCTCCCCTGCACTCACCTCTTCCTCATGCCTCTGCATTTAGCACTCTGCACTCTTTGAACTGGACATTACAATGAGTTTTAATTGTTGCTTTACACGTTTTTCCCCCAACTTGACATTTAGTTCTTTTCCTTTATAGTTTTTTAAATTATTTTTTATTGTGCTAACACTGATTTATAATATTACATAACTCTCATGTGTACATTGTATGTCGACTTATGTACACACTACAGCCTGCTCACTGCCAAAAGTTTAGATTCTGTCCATCATCATACAGTTGGCATTTTACCCATTTCACCCTCCCTCCATATTCTCCTTTTAAAATGTCGGTTATTAGTTAGCACCAGGCCTTGGCACAAAGAAGATGACAAGCCAGCGTACAGGTGATGAAAAATTAGATCAGACCTAAATGCAAAGATTATTTATGAAGAAAGTCTTTTCATGCTTTTCCATTAGCATAATGCTTCTATTTTATTCCATTTCCCTGTCTACATCCATCTCTTTGTACCAAAATGTCCTCTGCTTTATCATCTTCCAATAACCCATCACCACTTAATCTGTATCAGATGGATTTTTGCATATAATTTCTAACTTTTAGAAAAAAGACTTCTCAGATATTAATGCATTGGTGTCCATAAGTGGGAAATACTTCTTCCTTAAAATTGCATAAGGAAAAAACTTTAAAAGTGTTTTGATGTAGCACAATGATTATGTTATCTCTAAAGACCAACATTCATTAAATACTTCAAACAACTGTTAAGCCTGAAATAAGAAACGTTAAAGATCTTCAAGACCTAAATAGACATTTCTCCAAAGAAGACATACAGATGGCCAACAAACACATGAAAAGATGCTCAACATCACTAATTATTAGAGAAATGCAAATCAAAACTACAATGAGGTATCATCTCACACCAGTCAGTATGGCCATCAACAAAAACCCTACAAACAATAAATGTTGGAGAGGGTGTGTAGAAAAGAGAACCCTCCTGCACTGTTGGTGGAAATGTAAATTGATACAGACACTATGGAGAACAGTATGGAGGTTGCTTAAAAAACTAAAAATAGAACTACCATATGACCCAACAATCCTACTGTTGGGCATATACCCAGAGAAAACCATAATTCAAAAAAACACATGCACCCCAATGTTCATAGCAGCACTATTTACAATAGCCAGGTCACGGAAGCAGCCTAAATGTCCATCAACAGAGTAATGAATAAAGAAGATGTAGTATATACATACAATTGAATATTACTCAGCCATAAAAATGAATGACGTTGGGTCATTTGCAGAGACGCGGATGGACCTAGAGTGTCATACAGAGTGAAGTATGTCAGAAAGAGAAAAGCAAATATCGTATAATAACACATCTGTAGAATCTAGAAAAATGGTATAGATGATCTTATTTGCAAAGCAGAAAGAGACACAGATGTAGAGAACAAATGCATGGATACCAAGGGGGAAAGGGGTGGGGTGGGAAGAGTTGGGAGACTGGGATTGATACATATACATTATTGATAGTATGTATAAAATAGACAACTGATGGGAACATATTGTATAGCACAGGGAACTCTACCTAATGCACTGTGGTAACTTAAATGGGAGGGAAGTCCAAAAGGGAGGGGATATCTTTATGTGTACGGCTGTTTCATTTTTTTGTGTGTGCAGTGGAGGCTAACACAACATTGTAAAGCAACCATACTCCAATAAAAATTAATAATAGGGGGCTTCCCTGGTGGCATAGTGGTTAAGAATCCGCCTGTCAATGCAGGGAACATGAGCCCTGGCCTGGGAATATCCCACATGCCATGTCTGCCACAACTACTGAGTCTGTGCTATAAAGCCTGCGAGCCACAACTACTGAGACCATGTGCCACAACTACTGAAGCCCATGCGCCTAGAGCCCGTGCTCTGCAACAAGAGAAGCACCCACAATGAGAAGCCTGTGCACCACAACGAAGAGTAGCCCCGCTCACTGCAACTAGAGAAAGCCCGTGCGCAGCAACGAAGACCCAACACAGCCAAAAATAAAAATAAGTAAAATAGATTTATTTTTTAAAAATTAATAATAATTAAAAAGGATCTTCAGACATAGACGATCTAACTTAATTCCACCCTCATGGTAAGTATTTTGCAAGTATCTTTAGGTGATACATACACAATAGGCACAGAACTCTTTTATTATTCATTTTATTTTCATATAAATTAACATCCTAGAAAAATTAAAATAGAAACACTAAATACAGTATTGCACATAGCGATCTCTGTTAAATGCCCTATTATATCATTGAAGAAAGTCATGTACACATGGAGGGGCCGAAGGAGACAGGAGAACAGCAGAACAGCAACCCAATAGCCACTACTGTGTCTGTGCATGTCGACTACAGACTGAAAGCTAAGGACCATACTCTACATAAATACAAACATAGTTATGATTCAGAGTTTCTTTTAAGTTGATTCCATAATTGGTTTACATTAGCAACACATTCTCCCCTTTATTCACAGCTGTACCCCAAAACATATCATTAAAAGAATTTTTTAAAATATCTATTAATGTTAGACAAAACCATCACAACGCATCAGGAGCTGATTTTAAAATACTTTCATAGAGAGTGGAAGATTTACTTTTTTCCTCTCAATCTAAAATAAAATCTTTTCCTAGGTGCCTTTAGATCATAAATCCTTGCATACTCATTTCATAGTTTTTAATCAACTGCCATAACACATAAAGACAACCCCAATCAGGTCACAACACTCAGGCAGCTGGGTTTAAGTAACAAGTTCTAGGTAGATGCCAATCCATCTAAAAGTTACTCTTTTTTTTGCCACCAGTTAGTCATGTTTGGCAATTTTATGAGCATCATTTATTTAAATTCCTTAAAAGTATTGTGTCATTTTCTCTGTGAAGGGCAATGGTAAAAGTACAGAGAGGCACAGCTTTGGTTTAATTGACCTTTGCTGCAGATTGGCTTTATGTAAGGTCCCAAAGGACATAGTTGATAAACACCCTCATTTCTGATTCCTGCCTATTTTAAATGATTTATAGGAAGGGTTTTCCTTTTGCTATATTCTTTTCTATTCATTATATGATGAGTAAAAAAAATGAAAATCTTCTTTCACAAATATATAGTTACAGAGACCAACCCAAGAGCTGGGAAAGCCTTGACTATGACATATATAAATGGTACTTCAATTTCAAAATAGAAAATTTATATGTAGATGTGAAACTGATACAAACAATTCACTAGAAATAACATTTTAACCATAACTCTAAATGCAGTGATGTGGAGTACTGGTCGTCAGTAGAATGGAACGTGTTTCACTGTGACAGGGCTATTTGCACATCATTAAATTGAAGGTTACTGTTTAGCATGTTCAGAATTAATGCAGATACTGCCTCTTACACATGCTGTTTTGGTCTATCGGTAAAATACCATAAACTTTTACAAAAAGAAAAGGTGTCACATTCTCCACTGGCCTACTGCTTTTGCTTTTTTTCTTTTCTTTTTTTTTAATATACAGTAGAATTCAACAATCAGTGAACTGTCTGGAAAACACAAAGATTATGCAAGGGGCCAAGAAGAAAAGTGATCAAAATGATGAGTTTCCTTCCTGCCCTAGGTCGGCTGAATTCTGTGGAAGTGGCTGCAGGGACTCATTTTCTTTCTGCTTTTCTTTGTTCAGGTTTTCATGCTTATTTTCGCTTTCTGAAAATAAATGCACCAGGGAAGAGTTATAGTTAGAAGGAAGAACTTTAAAAATGTATGGTTTAGAATAGCCCAAACAAGGTCTTTTCATTTGGATCAAATTCTTTGAAAAAATGTTAAAGATACACAAGGTGATAAAGGAATAAAATAGAAGTAGAATCTGTTTTATCTTTTAGCATTTTCACTAAGACAAATCACTGAATGTTTTTGAGGAAAAAAGTTTCGAAAATTTAGCTTCTAATCGACATGAAAGAATACCAGGTCACCTTTTTCATTTTCTCATATTTATGTGTGCAAATACATAAATATGAAAATTGAATCGAGGCTTCATCTCATGGTTAATGTGATTTAACTCTCTTCTATCCTTATAATTCCATAATTGTGGTTAATAAATAACTTCCTGCTCATTCTATACATGTACTTTAAGATTGTACTTTCATCAAAAAGACAGAACATAAACCAAACCATAATAAAATACTTGTTGTTACATAAGATTTTTATACAGAGAAACTGAAAGGAAAATATCTTTTAAATGAAGATATAATTTCTAACTTTTCTCTAAATAAAGATGTTTAACGGTATTCCAATTTGGGTTATTTGAATATCTTCCATTTAGACTACGTGAGACTAACTCAATTCAAACTGCTCCTATCTTAAGGCCTAAAACATCATCATTTACTTACTCTGTGGGGTCAAATGACAACCCCTCGAACACTCAACTAAACACTGACAGTACCACAAGGGAAAACTCGTCATTTCCACCACCCTTCCCTCTCTGAGGGCACAACTTGGCGTTTTATTTTGAAGGGGAGAGCGGACAAAGAGGGAACACCTTGGCTTGTTACACTCGGGCTGTGGGCTGACAGCTGCTGGGCAGCCGACTCCGCAGAGCCGGAGCCCTGGTCCCAGCAAAGGATAACACTACACCTGGCATTTCATGTGTTAGATCCCAAGGGTGCTCACCCAATTACAACAGCTGTGCTGTGACCCGTGTATGATGAGGAAAGTGAACGATGGCCCCCAACTCTGTCAGCAACCCCACACACATACGTGCACCCCCTCAGTGGATTTATCTTAATTGTTAGTCTTTGAATGCTGAGATTCTTTTAGCCTTTGGGGCCTGATTAAAGGCAGAAGGAAAAGGAGATTCTTTAAGTCAGAGACTCATTATTTGTTCAAACTTAAGAGGAAAATAATTAAAATATTATTAGGTGAATTTGTATATATTGAGAAAAGAGTGCTTAAAAGCCAAAGAAAATCACAAGTTAAAAAAACAGAATAAATACTTACAATTCCAGAGTCATGTCTTGGTTTTATTTTATAAAGTGATTTTCCCTTTTTCTGCCTACATACCTCTTCAGCTTCTTTTACTCTGGGTGGGGGAGAAAACACACAATTTAAACAAAGATTTAGAAAGCTAACTACAATCCACCTATAGCAGTTGATTTATTAGAGAAAAATACCACATACCACAATGTCACCCGACATTTGATTTAAAAACAGAATGTTAGAGCTAGAGGCGAATTCACCCAGTGGTTCTTAACTTGGAATCAAAGGATGTGGAATGGAATAGAATACAGCACATTTATATTTTTAGGCTACACTTTATCCTATACTAATGGAGTCTTACATTCAGAAGTAAAGTAAAGAAATATCCTTCATTTTCAGGTGAGGGTGCTGAGCTTGGCTCCATTACATAAATGGGGCTGGCACTATTACATAAATCAGAAGCATTAAATAATTAAATAAGCAGTACCATATAAAAACTCATATGTTTATTTAAAACGGTCTTAGGTTCAGTTTCCACATTGCGTTTCCCCAGGCATGGAAGTCTGTGCAATGAATACTTGGGGTGTTTTTTTAAAAAATTGAGCTTCATCAAGCATGGGAATGAGTCATTCAAAAGCAGAAAATAGAGAGTGAGCAGTAATGTTTGAACGCGTCTAGGATTTCTTTTTAAGCACACGCTCCAAGGGAAAACAGTATTGAGTTTACCGGAGGAACAGTTAAAAGAGGACGTCATGGGGAGGGAGGTTGTGCAGCAAGTCTGGCTCTGCTGTCTGATGCTGGGTAACATCTGCTCGCTCTGCCCTCTGTGTCCCTTAGGAAGGACAAGTGCTAGATAATGCAGAACAGCATCACTAAGAAGATCACACAGAGCTGCTGCAAAGGTCCAAAAAGTTTTACTTTAAAAGTTCTTTATAGTAATGCAATTATACTCCTATAAGGATGTTAAAAAAAAATCAGTCCATGACTTTATAAACAGACATATTTATATATTAAAAAAAAGTTCTTTATAAAATACTGTAAAATATTACCAATGGTTGCTTTAACTAAACAAAGAGTAAGAAATCTGTAAACTGGAATTCTATTAATAAAAATAGGTGCCATAAGAAAGAAAATAACCTATTAGGTTAATTTGTTTTTATTACTGTGGTTTTTCTCGGGAATTAAAAATAGAGTATTTCTGGAGAAACTGAAAAGGCCGTGACTTATCTTAATAAAAGACTTAGATCTTGAAACCTGGTTCCTGAAAGAAATGAGTTTTAAATATACTTCTTAAGCCTGATGGTAAAAGTTCTAATGATAGAATTCATCTCTTATGCAGTTGAAAGAACCCCTGTTTTTAAACAACAGAAGGGAACAAATCATGGAGTACAGCAGCTATGAGGTTACTGTTGCAGCTCACAGTAAAGCGTGGCAGATCAAAATAAATCCTTTTGGATGTAAAATGCCTGCTGAGTTGCTAATGTCAGTAATTCCAGAAAATGATGACAGTTTAGAAGACAATCCATTGTTACCACTTCTACTACTTTCTTCCCAAGCCATAAGTTTGCCTTTAATCTTTTCTCCAAACATTTGAATACAAACACAGTATAACAAACTAGGGATTGCAGAGTTCCCATCTTCCTCTGAAATAACTACCAGTTAATATAAGTTGAAATATTTGGACAAGAAATTAAGGAAAACATTTTTTTTTTTTTAGCAGTTAGCAACAATCCAGTAGATCCCCTTTTAAATTTACTTGGAGCTCTTTAAAGCGTTTTGTGACATTTAAAATAAATCTACTTCACAAGTTTATAAATCACCAAAGCATCTTAATTTTCTCACTATCTTACTTATTTTGTTCTTAAAAGTTTTTTCTAAGTATCACAGGAAGCTGAGTCTAATACAAACATATTAAATTTTACACAAAAACAAGTCCAGCCATTCCCACAGCAGACACAAGGAGAGCTAGAGAGAGTGGTCAGGGAGCCCTCGCAGTGACTGGGCACCGGGCTAAGGGCACTTAAGCCCGGCGTCTGTCAGGGGAGAGGCCCGTGCGCACAGAGGCTGGGGCGCTCGGAGTCCAGCGCTGGGTTCGGGGGCTATGCCCCGAGGGGACCCTGGGGTTGGCGGGTGGGGTTCCTGAAATTCTTCGGAAGCAGGTCGACAGTTGAGCTTCGTTTCAAAGAGAAATCTTAATTTTCCATACTTTTCTTGGAAGGGGAAATGGGACTGAGGGTGAGGGGAGAGGACTTGTACAGAGTAACCTGGGGGCGCCGCGGGGACCCTGCTGCCTGGGACCCGCCACCGAGGCCAGAGCTCCCCCGCCCTGCTGCTTCCCTGTCCGACGGGAGCGAGAGGTCCCTGCGTCCCCAGACCCCAGCCGCGCACATGGCTCCCAAGCGGTCGCTCAAGGTCAGGAGCAGAGGAATCACGGAGAATCAGATAAAACGCAGCTCCCGGGACCCCACGTGTCTGTTCTGGGCCGGGTGTCTCTGTTCCCCCACCGTACCCGACCCCTGCCAGGACGCGCTCAGAAGCAGCACTGGGAGAATCTGATCTGATGTGGGCGCCCGTGGGCGACACCGGGAGAAGCTGCGCCCCGGAACCGAGCTGGTGGTTCCCCACGCGGCGCCCCAGGACCCCGGCGCTCCCTCCCCCTCGAGGCAACGCCATGAACCCCCAGGTCACGACCCCAAACCACAGGAATGGGCTCCCTGCAGTCCCCTTGGGGCCCACCCATCCTAAGTCTCCTAGCAAATGCTGCTTCTTCCAAAGGCCAATTTTATTTCAACAAAACTCTGACATTTTCCCCACACTTTAGGCAGGAAAAAAGAACGTGTCCCTGGAGGTGAGCTTGCCGCCAGAGTTGGCAGAAATAAGAGGAAAAATAATGAGCCGGACAGGAGAGGGCCCCCGAGTGCCCTCCTACTTGGGCCTCCCTCTGGGGGTCAGGAGGAGTCCTCGGCTCCAAGTGCAGGGCCCTTGAGTAACCCTCTTCCCTCCTGCCTCGCCCCTCATTCAATGAGTGCTAAAATTTCCTGAACTGAGTAGGAAAAAGATGTTCCTTTCATAACTAGATATTAAGTGAAAAGGCACAGTGGTGATAACTTTTCAAATAACAAAAATGACCTACACGTCTTATTTGGAAAGGAGGAGGGGAGTGAAAAGAGGGATAGTACTTCATTTATAAAGAGAAAGCAGTCACATGAGGAAGGAGGAAGTCAGGTCTTGGCTGAAGGGGACAGTCCTTGGCCTGCACTTGAGTTTAACCTCCAGTTAGGAGGGGTCTGTGGTTGGCGTATGGATTCATAGCTCTTGTGCATGATTCACGAAGATGATTTTTTTTTAATGTGGCTGCATTCACACAAAAGGGACTGCCAGGGCATTCGTTAATCAAGATTTGACTCTATTAGTCAGTCTCCCAAGGCAACAGAAATAAAAGCAAAAATAATGGGACCTGATCAAACTTACAAACTTTTGTACTGCAAAGGAAACCATAAACAAAATGAAAAGACAACCTACTGGCTGGGAGAAAATATTTGCAAGTGATGCAACTGACAAGGGCTTAATTTCCAATATACGAACAGCTCACACAACTCAGTAATAAAAAACCAAACAACCCAACTGAAAACTGGGCAGAAGATCAAGACATTTCTTCAAAGAAGACATACAGATGGCCAATAGGCACATGAAAAGATGATCAACATTGCTAATTATTAGAGAAATGCAAATCAAAACTACAATGAGGTACCACCTCATACCATTCAGAATGGCCATCGTCAAAAAGTATACAAATAACAAATGCTGGCGAAGGTGCGGAGAAAAGGGAACCCTCCCACTGTTGGTGGGAATGTAAATTGGGGCAGCCACTATGGGAAACAGTCTGGAGGTTCCTCAAAAAACTAAAAATAGAGTTATCGTATGATCCAGCAATCCCACTCATGGGCATGTATCCGGACAAAACTATAATTCAAAAAGATACATGCACCCCTATGTTCATAGCAGCACTATTCACAATAGCCAAGACATGGAAACAACCTAAACGTCCATCAACAGATGAATGGATAAAGAAGATGTTATATATATATGCAATGGAGTATTAGCCATAAAAAGAATGAAATAATGCCATTTGCAGCAACAAGGATGGACCTAGAGATTATCATACTAAGCAGAGTCAGAAAGAGAAAGACAAATACCATATGATATCACTTATATGTGGAATCTAACATATGACACAAATGAACTTATCTACAAAACAGAAACAGACTCACAGACATAAAGAACAGACTTGTGGCTGCCAATTGGGAGGGGGCTGAGGAAGAGATGGCTTAGAAGTTTGGGATTAGCAGATGCAAACTATTATATATAGGATGAGTAAACAACAAGGTCCTACTGTATAGTACAGGGAACAATATTCAATATCCTATGATAAACTATAATGGAAAAGAATATAAAAATATATATGTATGTATAACTGAATCACTTTGCTGTACAGCAGAAATTAACACTGCAAGTCAACTATACTTCAATAAAATAAACACACACACACACAAAAATAGATTTTTACCTTATTAGATAACTAAAAAGGGAAGTAAAAAATTTTCAGATGACATCTTTGGTAGGCTAATTCTAACAACTGCAACTTCTAACCAGAAATCTAGACAACAAAGAAAATATGAACAAAAACAAATGATGTGATAAGGAAAACTCTTCTCTCATCACGTTTAGTGGTTTTGGAAAAAAAACAACACAGAAAGCAGAGACTAGAAAACAGGAAAGGTAGACAGAACAGAAGGATACAAATAGTATATCATGGCCATGAAATTTGACGTTTATGTTAAATTTTGGTGTAATATCTTTTATTGTCCATAAAACTTCAGACACAACAATGTGCTGAATACTTTTCAAAACTATGAACTTATCCCTCAAATGAAGGACCAAAAGTAATAAAATAATATGAGGCGCTCCTTGATCTTTTAAGGGAGAATTTAATCATGGGAAAAAACCAAAAAACAGATGGAATCAGGTTTGGAAAACAGAGTAGGTGACCAATTTGAACAAATATTTTTTGTTCTTAATTTTTGTCCTGGCAATGGGTCAGAA